GCATGGGGTGCAAATTCATACATGCAGGCAAAACACCCACGCACGTTAGATCAACACACTGTTTAATAAATTAAAAATGATTGCCACAGATTTCCACTTGGTCTCCTGTCTAAGTTGGTCATGGATTATGCAGTATCACCTAAGTGGAATCTCTGTGCGTTTTGAAAAGCAGAAACAGCTGTCGAAATGCAGTCTTCATTTGCTCTCAGCAAGCTGCCACCCACACCAGCTCGCTTCAATAGATATTTCACATTTTCCAATTCTGATTAAAGAGATAACGTGAAGAGATTTGATTTACAAGATCATGTTTGACAGATTATGTGAAAAAACAAAAAAATAAAAATAAAACAACCCTGTTACTAACCATTTCAAACGTTTTAGTGATTTGTTTTCCTCTCCTACGAAGTGTAGAAACAAACTATCCCAGACCTCCTTTCCATGAGGGCCGCCCAGGAGATCCCATGCTGGCTGGGGTGTGAGTGGATGTCACAGGGCAGAATAAACCATTTCCAAAAGAACCAGACTTTCCGTGCAACGCAGCTGAAACTCCACACTCTGTAACACTGGTGCTGTTCAGAGTGTCCACACGGACACCTTGTGAACTTTTCTACTCATTGATTAACTCAGTGATGTTAATTGTTTCTTTCAGTAGAACACAGCGGAAGCTGGTTCAGACGTGAAGGCAAACTACTGAGTAATGCAGGGAACATGAGCCTGGATAGCCTGAAATTCATGTCACTTCAAGGATGAGCTGTCTGTTAGCCACTTGAAAAGCTTAAAGCACCCAAATATTAGATAGGGCAGTTGGGAATTTGTGAGTATCTTGTGTCTGCCTTCATAACTGTGAATTCTGAGCTTAGAGCCCACGTTAGCCTGCAGAATTAATTCATAATGCACACAGTGTCTGCAGAAAAAAAAATACAGGTGCTGAAATCAGCTGCTATTTATAAGTAAGCTGTAAGTATAACCAAGAAAATGGTAAGTACAAGAAACCAAATAAAAAAATATGGTTATTCATCAGTGATGATATGATTTAGAATTATATAGTGGGAAAAACAAACAAGTTTCTGCTTTCAAATTACTCTTGGGGATTCACAGACAAGAAATCAACCTTTTCCTAGGAATCTTCAGAGTTTTCGAAATTATATTTTAAATATATTTATTTATTGCAATTTATTCAGTTTGTATCGCAGATGTAGCTCCCTCCTTCATCTCCTCACAATCCTGCCCTCCCTCCCTCTTCTCCCATGCCCCTCTCCAAGTCCACTGACATGTGAGGTCCTCCTCCCCTTCCATTTGACCCTAGCCTATCAGGTCTCATGAGGACTGTCTGCATTCTCTTCCTCTGTGGCCTGGTAAAGCTGCACCTCCCTCAAGGAGAGGTGATCAAAGAACCAGCCACTGAGTTGATGTCAGAGACATGAACTTACTAGGGACCCCCCACTCGGAGACTGAGCTGCCATGGGATACATCTGTGCAGGGGTTCTAGGTTATCTCCGTGAATGGCCCTTGTTTGGACTATCAGTCTCAGAAAATGCCCCTGAGCCCAGATTTCTTGGTTCTGTTGCTCTCCTTGTGGAGCTCCTGTCCCCTCCAGGTCTTTCTATCTCCCTTTCTTTCATAAGATTCCCTGCACTCTGCCCAAAGTTTGGCTGTGAGTCTCAGCATTTGCTTTATTACCCTGCTGGGTAGAGTCTTTCAGGAGCCCTTTATGGTAGGGCTGCTCTGTATCCTGTTCTCTCCCTCTCCCGATGTCTATCCCATTTGCCTTTCTGAATGAGGATTGATCATCTTACCTTGGGTCTTCCCTGTTGCTTAGCTTCTTTAGGTGTACAGATTTTAGTATGGTTATCCTATATTATATGTCTAATATCCACTTATAAGTGAGTATATACCATGTGTGTCTTTCTGCTTCTGGGATACGTCACTCAGGATGATCTTTTCTAGTTCCCACCATTTTCCTAAAATTTTCATGATTTCCTTGTTTTTAATTGCTGAGTAGTATTCCATTGTGTAAATGTACCACAATTTCTGTATCCATCCTTTTAACCATCTTTTCTGTTTCAATAATCTTGATTTTTAGCTATATGAAACTGAACATTGGCGGCACACCATTGCTAATCTGAGTGTTTTTAACTGCATGTGGAAAGGAGATGTCTTACCTGAAGGGTGATTAGAGGATACTGAAAGAAAAAAACACAGATTAACACTTTAGTGAGACAGTCTGTTGCCAAATAGTATTAATTCCAAGATTTATTTCATAATTAATTCTTTTGGTTAGTGTACAAAACAATGGGCTTTGTAATTATATTTTCACACATATATATTATTGTATCATGATTGGTTCAGTTCATATTACCCTCTCTGATCAAATCCACCTATACCTTTGCTTTCATTCCTCTGTGTGTGTGTATAAAAACATATAACTAAGTCTAGATGCCACATATGAGAGAAATCATATTTTTCTCTTTCTTTCTTTCTTTTTTTCATTATTAACCCTTTTCTCCCTTCTCCTTTTAGAATCATTCCTCTCCCTTCATGGTATCCCATTTACTTTCATTGTGTGTGTGTGTGTGTGTGTGTGTGTGTGTGTGTGTGTGTGTGTGTGTAATACTGCACATGAAAAAAAAAACCATATCTGGCTAGTTTGACCTAACACCATGACCTCTAGTTGCATTCATTTTCATGCAAGTGACACAATTTCATTCTTCATGATCAAAGAAAACTCCATCATATGGATACACCCACATTCGTTTTAGCCATCCGTCTATTGATGGGCATCTATGCTGGTTCCGTACCTTGGCTATACTTGAATAGTATAGGAATAAGCACAGATGTGCAGGCAGATGAAGTGTGTTGACTTACGTTCCTGGAAGGTGCTTTTATCGCTATGGATCTGATTAATAGATTTAGATCCCATTAGAAATTATGGACTCACCATCTCATCAACAGGTTTGAGCCAGGTGTTGAGTGTCACGATACGAAAGTTAACTAAACAAAGAGGACAGGCTGTCAAGAGTCATGAATCCCAACTTACAGCTATGATTGCTTTAACATACATATGTAATTCATTGCTTCCCCATCCCAGAATGCCACATTCCCTTTCCCCTAGCTCTGATTTGCCCCTTTGAGCTTAGGAGTTCATTGGGGGAAAAAATCTCTTATTGAGAGACTTATTGTCTCTCTGTTAATGATTCCTGATTCCAAAATGCTGACACCAGGTACTATTAGAAACGCGTATCCTATCAGACATAATACATAAGACTGGGATATCTTGGAACAGAATTAGTGACAGAAATTTCCACAGAAGCACAAATGTGAACACTTATGTGAGGAGGTAAGCCTAATTTTCCTTGAAAACGATGCTAGCAAAATTAAGTTATTTTTAGGAAAACTACCAATGAAAGACATTGGCTCTTTCGACTATACAACTTATTCTAATATTTTGTAAGCACAGAAAAGGAGATATCAGGAAGTGAAAAATTTCTCTTTAGGGATTATCTCTGCAATATCATGTGTGAAAAATGTCACAATGAAACTCACTGTCTTGTGGGCTGAATTAAAATTGATTGTAAAAGAATAATGAAAGAAACCTACATAAGCTGGTCATTCAGAGTACGGCAGAGACTCCTTGGAGGAATGCCCCTGTCTCAGATACTGTCACATCAGTCCTAGCACAGTGGAGAATCCTTGGAGGAAACCACCTCTGACACTTTCACAATGACAGGTCCTTCAAATGCCAGAAATAAATGTCTGTTGCTTAAGCCAAAATAAGTTCTATTTTCAGCTCTTTTGTTTTTTTTTTTAAAGAAACAAAATAAAACTATGAAATATGAATGAGGACACAATGCATGGGTAGTTTCACCTCTAAACCTTTAATTTTACAATGAAGGAATTAAATCTCAAATAATCAGAATTTACTTGCCAAAAGCCAATCACTGGTTAACTGAGCCGAGATCTTAATCAAGGTGCTTGGAATTCTAGCTTGGTGCTCTTTCTGCCACTTTCTGCCTAGAACATTAATAAAGAAAGCAGAAGGGCTCTGCCTCCTGCCTTCAACAGAAAAACAGAACAGCAGAGAGGCATAACTGTTGCTGGTGTGATCTTTGTTGGCATCGGTGTTGCTTCACGGTGACCCTCATTTCTTTCCTGAAAGTCCCAGGAACGTTTCACTCCCTCTACTTTAAGGATGAAATGATTCCCTTGCAGAAGACAATTAATGAGCTTGTCCAATGGGCACTTAACGGACATTGCTTTAGACCATTGCGTTCTGTGCCGGTGCCCGCTTTACCAGGAAGCCTCTTCAGAAGGACTTGCTTACAAGGAGCCAACAGATGGAGTCTTAGGAAACACCTCAGCAACTCCAGGATCTAAAGGCACGGTCTCATAACCGTAGGAATTACGGGAACGCAGCAGTCAGTGACGTCAAAGGCAAATTTCACTGAATGTTACATGTTAATTTGGAGAGAATGTTTTTAACATGACTCACCTCTCTCCCCAGGCTTGTAGACAGGAGAGTCTGTCTGCACAAAAATTGCCTTCTCCTCAGCAGCGATTGCCACAGCTCTCCTTTCAGAGATTTTAAGAGTGTTTCCCTGAACAAATAATGTCACCAAGGCCAACTGCTGTGAGGATATCAGAGACACCTGGAGAAGAGCAGAGAGGGGAAGATTGTGTGTCTTGATTTAATGGTGGCACAGGCAAAGCCTTGTAAACTCAGCACTTCCCAACAAAAGACTCACTGATGACCTGTTGCAGTTGCTTAACTCAGTATAAAGTTCCTTTCTATGACACTCAGATTCATATCTTCTTGCCATTTTCTTTTTTAATGTCAACCCCAACCAAAACTCTCCACCCTTTAACTTATCTTTTTTTTAGACTCTGTGAAGCACGTTCAGTCTGAGAAATGGCAATTGCCTCATCATTTCCTATAACAGAAAATCGCCAACAATGGCAAGATACGCTGAGCATCAAATTTTCTTGCTTCTTTTGAATTTTTCATATTTGCCCACTAGATTTTGCAAACCACTTCAAATGGCGGTTTGGTTTTGGAAAGCAATTAGAGAGGGCAAATTCACACTCCTATCTGTACTACCCCTGAAGCGTTAAATGTGGGGACTCACTTTGAAATTCGCACAGGTATAGAAGTTGCCGGCTTCCACAGACTGGTCAAAAATAGTGGTATTGAATCCATCATATTCTAGGATGATGCTCACGGACACAGACTCCTCGAGGTTTAAAAGATGAAGACAGGCCTTTTCTGGGGCAAATCTCTGTATCACAGTAGAAACCCACAGGACGTATTGCCTGCACAAAGAGAACAGCCAGCACCCTGTAAACCAGTTTACATCCACAACAGCAGCTGGGGCTACTGAAGGATTCCCAAACTGTGCATTTTTCACGGACAGGATAGTGCTAAACGGGGTACACACAGCGCTGTCTTAAGAATATGGCATATGCTCAACCCTTAGAGGGCAAGCCAGCACTCATTGGCTGAAGTCGAAATAGAATGATGGACCAATCAAGTTTTAACATGGAACCCATTTAATGAGACGGCATTCCCGGGACTTTGATACAGAGAGGGTAGAATTCCCTTACGGTTCCGAAGCCACAGCATCAGCGAGATGAATCAGGAGAGCACTGAGCAAAATGGTAGGCGCCACTGTGTCCCAGCGCCTGGAGGGTGTCTCGAGACCAAGCATCCTCTTCCTCCTCTCAACAGAAGCCAGCTACCCAGGTGCTCTGCTTCTTTCCTTCCTCTCCTCCCAACCTTGTAGTTGCTTTTATAGTGTCACAGAACGGAAGATCAGTTACCTTTTGGAGCAAGCATCAGGAGAGTGATGGCCTCAGATGGCCTCCGTGATTACTTTGGGGCGGGGGGCAGTAATCGGTTTATGTGTAACTTCCTGCTGGAGTTGGCTGCATGCTGGCCTGGCTGGAGTTGGCCAGGTACGTTGGACAGGAAGAAGAGAATAATAAAGTAGCTGGGTGACATGCATGAGTTCATGCTGTTTTGGTACTCCACACAGGGCTGGCTGGCAGCAGCGGCAACGCAGCACCACCGAGGGAGAAACACTCTGAAGAAAATACCTCCCTGAAACACTATCTCAATACCTATACTCAAAAGGAAAATGTGTTCTGGGGTCACGCATCTCAATACAGGCCCATTCTATGGACAGTCAGTGTGGTGCTGTTATTCTTTTATAATTTCGTAATATAGGACTTAGTGTTAAAACGCTGGTTTGTGGTCAACCACATTTAGCATGATTTTCTTACTACTAAGGTTTATAAAGCATGTTCACTGTCTCTTCCACCGTCATGAAAAATTTGGAGAAAATGTAAAAACACAAGCATCACTGGCAAAAATTAAACACCAGCAAAAAATGCTACAATCTAATTGTAAGTGGATGGTTCTTGCCAATGAAATGCTGAAATCAATTTTCTTGCCATGTTTTACATATATATTACTATTACTATTCTTTTAGGTAGGATATTACTCTGTAGCACACGCTGATAGCCTGGAATTCCATGAGTTCAGGCTGGCCTTGAACTCATGGTGATTCTTCCAGTGGTGAAATTGCTGGTAAGTCGTGTGACCCCCCCCTCTCCCCCTCCCCCTCCGCCGAGTTGAATCTGGCAAACATTCTGTAGACTCTCCAGCATAGTAAGTCTTCCATTTTCCATGACTTTCCTTTCCTTTCCTGTTGTTTGTTTTTAACATTCCTTTTACCTCAAGGAGTGACAAAGTGAGTACGTGTGGGCTGAAGAATGTCAAAAGCTCTGAGAGACAGAAGCCAGTTTTAATCTTCTAGAAACTAGTTATCTGATGAGTTCATATTAAAATATATAGGGAACTTGACTGAACACTAACAATGACAATCTGGTAATTTTAAAATGGGCAAATTATCTGAAGAGCATTCCCATGGCAAATTGGGCAGATTATCTGAAGAGCATGCCATGTGTAAATTGTGGGGATGGTGGAGGTGTACCTCAGAAGAACTTGGGGAATACCAATTTCCTCACACGAACACCCCAGCCTTGGTATGCAGAGATGCCAATGGCATCAACAATGGTCAAACCAATGGATTTTGAGACTCCTAAGTTCAACACTAAATATACCGCTTCTTAGCTGCTTCTGGTAGTTTTTGGTAGCTATGTTAAAGCTGGCTAATCATTGGCTAAAAAAATTAAATTCCCTCAGCTGGTAGTAGATCTCAGGATCTTGTTCTGGAAGTCTTGCTTTGTTCCCAGGAACCAGGAATACCAAACAGAAAAGGCCCACAGCAGGTAGGCTTTGCTGTGTTCATCTCCTCTGTTAGCATGGTGACACATAAAATTGGTCCAGCAATTCTGTTTATCATTTGCCATTTCTAAGCATTAAAATGGACAGCTTTGTGTCTCTGTTTCTGAGAGCTTTCATGTCATGTGAAACTTTTATTCAGTAAGTCTGTTGCGTGTGCCTCTTCTCGACTGCCTTTTGTTTTAGAAGTGCTGACTATGACTCTACAATCAGTGAGGACAGTAATCTGAAGTTCTGTCTCCTGAGGGATTCAGTACCAGGCAGGTCATTGGTATTCAGCACAGTACTTACTCAGGGTGCGTTTTCATTGAGTACAAACTAGTCTCCTAGTGTTACGGTAGGTGGCAGAGAAGAGCAGGAAAATATAAATGGTCGAAGCGATCACCTTCCCCGAAGGACAGAGATTTAATAGCTAACTATTGCAACCAGTGTAAGGGATGCAGCAGAGAAATGGGTGCAGGGTACGGAAGGGTGCAGGCTGGGACGGTCTGATCTCTGTACCAAGTTATGTTGACAACCCAATGAGCACTATCCGTTGCTTCCTGTCTTCTCAGAGGAATACATAAATACGGATGTCAATGCCGATCGATACAGATAATAATTTATTTTGGAGCTACGATCGCTGTTCTGTGGAATCGCATTAACACTGTGAATAAGAGCATGACAAAAGAGTTTAATAAAGAGGTGCTTTTGGCATTGGAACTGTTAGTGTGATAAGAACTTTTGCAGGTAGAAGAGAAAGCCAAGGGCAACCCAGGATACACAGCAAGGCCTTGTTAGGAAGAAATGAAAAGTCATGAATATAAATAATTCTTATATTTCACAGAGAACAGCAAGGTGGGCTTAAAATGATGATGATGAGGAGGAAACCCAAAAGCCACAGAAATTGTTTGAAACTTTTGCAAAGGCAAGGCCCTGGGCAGTGGCTTTGGTTTTCATTCCAGTTCTTAGAATTAAAGCCATTCTGACAGGGATTTGAAGAGGGGAGAAAGCCAGGCTGGCCCTGAGGTCCATACCGCTGCTGCAGTCAGTGAAACTAGACAAGAACTGAAAGAGATAGGGAAGATTTAGGGTTCACACATAGGAAGCAGGAGGTGGCATTATTGTCAACAGGCCGCTTGAATAACAAGTCGTGTGCATTGGGAACAGTTAGAGATGTGGGCAGAAATTCCGGAATCTTTTAACATGTGGGGGATATTAGCGTCTTGAGCATTGGTATGCTTACACAGCACGGCCATTCAGGAAAGGAGGGAGAGGATGGGGAAGTCTGTGTTGCCGGGTGAGAGCTGTCGGCTGAGCAAATGTGTGTGTTTCCCTGGCCACTGTGAGCGTGAGCAAGGCCCCACAAAGCGGCCCTGGCATTACCTGCTTTAAGATTCTTGTTGGTGCTCCTAGCAAGCATAATTAATCATAGGCCATTTTAAGAGGGGAAATAGATGTTAGGTTTATCCTGCTGTTCCTGAGAACGTTTTGAACTTCAAGTTCCCCTTACGAAATGGTAAAGTCAATACAACTACGGCATTACTCAAACCAGTCATCTATAGAAGCTAGTTATGCCTCAAACTAAACAAAATTATTATTCAGTTTCCGATGTGGCAATCCTTTGAAAGGGAACTTGTCTTTTCCTCCTTGAACAATAAGCTGTTTTATAAGTCGGGGTGCTCCCTGTTCTCAGATATTTAATTCTTATGTCAATTCATTACCGTTGGCCAGAAATTTCCAGACACAATTGTGTAACTGTGGACAAGTGATTGAGAAGAGGTAATTGGGGGAAAGACGGGTGCTTCTGAGGTCAAGTCAACACCTCCACCTTGCTGGCTGGCAGAGCCTACTTCATACTCAAAAGCTCAAGCTTTTATCCATTCCATTTGTCAAGGATCCACTAATCTTAAATGTCACCCTGCCAAGGAAGACAAACAAATGTGAAATGAAGAGGACCAACCATCCATCAGTGGAGACGTTTTAGATCTGTAACTGTGGGCCTTATTCTAGAGGAAACACCCACAGCTTGTTGGAGAAGTGATGTGTGTGACTCACCAAAACCTAAGAAATCACTGATATCATGTGGTTCCACTCCAAACCCACCATCCTTCTGCAGGAAGCCACAGATTTAATGGGAGGAAACACAGACTCAGCAAAACAGCCAGCCTCAGCTGACGCCAACAACTCCTCACAGACTTATTTGTCAGCTCAAAAATATGCAGATATGACTTTCAGGAGTTGAGATTGGCTGGAAATAAGGGAAATAACATAACATAACACAATGAAGCTGCGCTCGGGACTTGCATGTTAACTTTGAAGGAGAAGGCGTGACTTCTCTCTCCTCTCTGTAATAGAAGATGAAAGTGAGGTCTCCTGGAAGATCAATTCCCAAGTTACAAAACTAAGTTTCAATACTTGGCAGGACAAGAGAGGTACTGAGAAGTTGTGTCCTACTTTCTACGTTTCTTTTCTTGCAACATGAAGGAAAACTAAAATCAAGCAGAATATGCTTCTCTGAGTAGATCTGACCTACTCCACCAAGGCCTGGACAATGTGAAATCAGCCTGAGCAACCCTTCAGCCTGGGCGCTGAGTTCACTGCAATTCCACCGCAATTTCTGTGATGATATTTGAAAGGTTATGTTTAGCTCCGACTTGCATTGTACATACCAATTTTTTTGCCCTTTTGATCGATCACTGAGTTAGGGTTTCAAAGTGTTTTCTTACATCCTGTTTGCCTCAGGATGTTCGAATTTCTGCCCGATTCTGACATTATTCTCTTAAATATCAGGCACATTTCGTCAAACTGTTATGACAGTTGTGATACAAGATATGACAGTATTTAAAATTGGTTTCAATGGCTCTACAATCCTTTTGTTGTTGATCCTAAAGCTCTGCTAACACGAAGTCACTAATTCTCTTATCTTTGGCTTCTTGTCAATGCCTATCACATAAGTATTGCTTTAAAAGTCCTAGAGATATTTAGCAGGGCAAGGATAAAACCTAGCAGGATAATCCATGTAAAGTAATCCCTAGTTCATTGTCAAAGGTAGTGAGTATTCAGTCAGTAATTAACAAGACAAATATTCCCTCTCTGAGACTCATCAGCCTAACATGAGGCATTTTCTTTTCTTTCCTTCTTTCCTTCCTTCCTTCCTTCCTTCCTCCTTCCTTCCTTCCTTCCTTCCTTCCTTCCTTCCTTTCTTTCTTTCTTTCTTTCTTTCTTTCTTTCTTTCTTTCTTTCTTT